TCTTATGGTTACTGGGGGAAAGGATAAATTTGGGTGTTTGAGATTTGCAAATGTTAGCCATTATAGGTTATTTTAATACATAGCTAATCCACGACATTGGTGATACATAGAGAAGTAGTATGTATTGGTCTTTAACTGAGTACCTTTTAGAACTTCTTCAGTGAAATAAATAAGAATGGATAGTTGTGGATAAAACTGGAAAAAAATCAGCCTGTCTGCATATAAACCATAAGATAATTAAAGCCACTAGGGTGTAATCCTTATTATAGCTGTAGAGTTTATGGCCTGATAAATGGTCCCTGTTCCACTACAGAGAGTAATTCTAGTTACAGGACAGTTTGTTTTCTTCAAATCTGTCCCTCTTTCCTAGGAGTAGCATTGAATAAACATCCTCAAGTTCTTAATCATCTTACTCTTTCGTAAAAGCTCTTCTCTCTTTGTCCTCTTGGTCATTTCTCACTCTTTCTTAGCTAGAGTCACATACCAGTCATGCCTCCCTGGTACCACACCCAGGTCACTGAACTTGTTCACTTGCAAATTCCTGAGCCACCTAGGGCATGGGTTCCTTCAGCTAATGGCTGCTCTGAGCTAAATGCCTACTGATTTTCTTTCCCCCAGTTTCTGTCGGAGGAAACTGAAATTTCAGGGTTTTCAGTTACATTGCTTTCTCATGTACTGATGCCATGTCCCATCATAGTCTGCATGGTAATCCTGTAACCTTTATAGCCGTTATCACACTGAAGTCTCTCTGGGGGCCATTCAGTATCTTGTTCACCATGTCTCTGGCACCTAACTTGATGCAGTTTTAACTAAATTAATGTATTAGCTAATCTACACTACATTTTAACCCATCTGACAGAAGAGGTGGAAGAAGAGCGATCTGCATGTGATTTAAGTAGGGTTTGGGGCCAGCAGGTAGGATGGTACCTATGTTTCCTGAGAAGCTGGTGCCACCACAGGTGCCTGGTTGTCTTGGCATGTCCCTCCCTACAGTGGAGATGGAGGTGCCAAAGGAGTGTCACTTGAATGCTCCGTCAATGGTCTTTGGACAATGACTTCCTCTTACTTGGCCTTCCAGGCAGTGCTGTGATTATAATCTGGCTTCCTAGGTAGTCTTTCAATTTTGGGCAAAGTCCCAAATGCCTAATAGTTTGTATTTTGTCTGCCTAGCTGTTAATAACTTTTCATGGCGGGTGGACATTCCAGGCTCCTGCAAATGGCATCCCTTTGAGTCAGCTTTGATGGAACCAGACAGGATGTGAGGACAAGCCCTGCTGAGGATGATCCAGAGTTCTGGGAGGCATCTGTTCTAGCCACCCTGTGAAGTCCTGTTTCTGTTCAAGAACCCTCTCTCTGATGTCTTTGTTTCACATTTGATTTGAAAGGATCTCTGTTCTCCAGAACTTACTATAAGCTTTAGAGACACACATGTATAGAACATTTAAGTGATGATATAAGGCAGGAGTTGATTGACTACTGAAGAAAATGGTATATTAAAAAGGGTAAAGAAGTTTTAAAATAAGAAAAAAGATGAAATGAGTGGTGTAGATGCTTTTAATTGGAATGGTGGACGGTACTTAGTGGCTTTGCACTGAGCCTGGAGACAAGGTGGCGTTGAGATGGGTGGGGAGGACAGGGCCAAGGAGCACCATCAGCAGAGGCTGAGGTTGGAAAGCAGGGGTGCTTTCAAGGACAGAGGCCAGGCAAGCTGGTTACAGGGGCTTGTGAGGAGAGATGTTTAGGTAGAGCAGGGAGGAGCCCGGTGGAGGAAAACCTCTGAGTTTCTGGCTGAACTCATTTGCAGTGTGAAACTGAGGGAGAGATGGGCATAGGGAATAATGTGATGAGGTCACCTTGTAGGAAGGCTCTGTTTGCTTTAATAATTGGAAAGGTAAGGAACTGGGCATGTAGAATAGAAGGGTGGTGCTTGAAGTAATCTCCGTGTAGGTGGCTGCAGAGCTGGTGGGGCAGTAGGAGGACTTGAGAGGGTCATATGTTATGAAATGATAAGCCATGGCTATTGAATAGAAAGATCAGAAGGGTTGTATATTAGTAAAGAAATGAGCAAGCAGCAGTACGATTCCGAACGTGAAGATGCTGGTGACGTGTATGTTAAACATTACAGAGCTTTGCCCAGAGCTTTGTTGTGCAGCTGCTTTTTGTTACCTCCCTTTTGTTCTTCAGGACTCTGCTCGGAATCTTACTGACTCCACCAGCCTGTGCTCCTGTAGAGCCTGGTGTTTACCACTGTCAGGCACTAACACTGAATTCCTGTTGACTTGTCTGTCACCTCAGCTAGACCAGAAGCTCCATGAGGTCAGGGACAGTCATTTCTCTCCAGCACTTCCTCATATATTAGGTATTCAGATGTTTGTAGGATGCATTATATGATAATGTATTTTTTTGCTGCTTTCTCTGGAGTGTTGCAAATAGCCTTATTATTATTATTATTATTACTTATTCTACTGCTGTCTAGATAATAATCAGCCATTGCCTTAAATGATACTGAGGGCCCTCTGCTTTCTCTCACTGGCTTTCATTGGGCAGATGTTTGCAGCAGACAGGCACTGTGCTGTCTGTCTTAAAGATAGTAACATGTGCGTACTTTGATTTCTTGATAGAGTAAGTAACCCCAGGTGAGATAAATCAGCCTGATGTCAAGGATTAAGTACATTAGAGCCACAGAAGAGGCACTTCTGGCGTGCACTCTCCCCGTTCCTGTGCCAGCTTCCCTGGAGAAGTACAGCACGACATTCTCAACCTTCTTACTCAAGGTCTTTCGGGGTGGATGAAAATGGAACTCATTAGAAGGGAAACATTACTTTTACTCTTGTTTCGCTTGCAAGTACTTACGTGTGTTCAGGAGGATCGTTCTGTCCTGGCCAGTGATTGCATTTTGCACACAGTGACTGTTGAGGTGCATGCTTTCTCTGGAAGCTGTGTTTGAAAGCACAGAGGAAGGCATTTTGATTTTAAAAGATTCTAAGTTCTCCAGACTCTTGCATTTAGGTAAATGTCAGTTGTTCGAATCAGTGATGTAACCAGTGTTTGTTTCCTCATTTCCAGCTGGGGAGCTTTTGATGGGCTTTCGCAGCCTCTTCTCAGTTCTCACACCCGCTCCTGAAGAGGGGGCTGTATTCTTGCCCTGATGCTTCATGCTGTTAACTTTTAAGGAATTCCTCTTTAGGTGGCACTTTTTTTTCCCCTCTTCTTTTTCTCAAGCTCTCTTGTAATGCAGGCTCTAAGGAGCTGAAGCTGTTGCTGGGAATAAGCGGGCTTTGCCTTTCTGTTTTCTCCTTGTACCTCCTGTTGGGTCCGGAGTGGAGCAGGGGTGCCTTCTTCCAGAAGCTTGTTGAAGAGAGTTCAGCTGTCAGCACTTGGTGTTTCGGCACAAGGTGACAGGGTAGGGAAGACAGTTGTTTCCAGTGGGGAGTGGGCCCCAGGGGTTTGTCGCTGTGGAAGTCTTTCTGGGGTGGACCTGCCCCAGGCGAGCCCTGGGTGTTAGAGTTACAGTGGAATGGGGCTCTGCAGGAAAGGGGATGGGTGGGCTTTAGGACTGTGATCCTGCTTCACAGTGTGAAACCCTAGTACTCACGTCCTGGCTTCCTCTTGGAAATTCTTTTAATGGCTTTTGAAGAATCAACTGGTAAAAATCTGCAAACCTAACTGGATAAGTTAAGGAAACAGGTAGCCCATTACCACTAGCTACCTGTGTCTTAGAAAGAAAATATAAAATATTGAAATTAAAGATTAGGGGCCTGAATATTTGAATGAATCATAGGTCTATTTTGTCGGTGGGAACAGACTACATTGTGCGATAAGCTTTCTTTTTCTAACTTCCTCTTTTACAGGTCCATTTAGAATGGAACTTTGGGTTTTTAAATTCTGACTTGTTCTAGGACAGTTCTAGAAGTTTCTGTCTTACTCTAGTACAGTGGTTCTCCATATTTTTCTCCACACTGTTCTGTGTGCCACGTTCCTGGAAACACACCACATTGTAATGCTGGAAGGGTTGGGGTGAAGTGTAGTGAAATTAGATTTAGAATCAGGCGTTTCCTGTTCACAATGTGACTAGGAAACTGAAGCCAGAAAAAGGTTTAGGCAGTGACTTGCCCAAAGGTCCTAGTCAGTAAAGGAGAGGGGTCTGGATCAGAACCATATGATATCTGTGGTCCCTTCCTTTTCCAGCTTTGAATTGCTGACAGGTTGGAGATGACGAGGGGAGGCATTTGCATTCCCAGTGCCCCATTTGTTTTGTTCCTAGAACTCTAGGTATTCAATTTGTAGGAATCTTTTAGCAAAATTTGCCCGAAAAGCATGATCATGCCCAGAGCAGTGTAAATATTCACACATTCAGGCACAACCCCATCCCCAGTCCCCATATACACGTGAAAAATATGAATCTGTCTGTAGTGAGGAAGCACTGTGCTCATTGCCATGGGTTTTCTTCCTGCAGTGTTTGCTGCCAGTCAGCTAGAGACTCCTGGACTAGTTGTAGTGATAATGTCACAGGAACGGGAGAGAAGCCTGGCACCTTTGGGAGACCTGCTGATAAGTGACTTCTCTGCCCCTCCCCCTCCTTTTCAACCTGTTCTGTTAATGAGTGCACCTAATTATGTATCTGGTCTTTTTACTATTTACAATTCAAATGCTACTTAAAGCCGATTGTTTGCTTTTGTATGCTGTAAATCCTGGGCTGCCTTCTGAAGCACAACTTGATGATTGTGTATTATCATCTTGGGTTAAGTGCTGTCTCATTGCTTTGCAGGCTGCCTGCTGTTTCCCGGGGAGATCATGAAACGAGGTCGCCTTCCCAGCAGCAGTGAGGATTCTGACGACAATGGCAGTAAGTCCTGCTTTGTTGTTCTTGGAGCCTACCAGGGTTTGGGTCAGTGTAAAAACATGATTTTTTAATGTAATGTTTTAAAGAGCTGAGGACCTCTGCATATCAGGCAGGTCAGAGAAGAGCTACAGCTGAGAAACACATCTGTCTGAGTGTGATACTGCAGGTCTGCAACCAGATCTTTCCGGGTAAGGTTGACTGCGGGTGGGCATTCCTCGGGCTTCCTGTTTGTTATCCAGAGATGAACAATCCAGTTTCAAGAGTCACTGGTGTGTCTCTTTTTCCTAAACATCATTTACAGTACTTCACAGTTGCTTTTTATGAAAAGGGAACTTAATCGAAGCCACTTAATTATTAACTAGTCTAACCTGAAACAAAGGGCGACTGAAGGCTGCCTAGTGTGATGTGAAAATATTAAGTACAGGTTTTTAGGAGGGCACGAATCAGTGCTCTTCACTGATTTGAACATGACTGTATTAATACTGCTACTGTCTGCATCTCAGCTCTGGCATCCTCATATTTTCACAGTGCTTCTGAGAACCAGAAGTTAGTTGGCTTCCAGGCAGTCAAAATAAATGTCACACAGCGTCTGTGTATTGAAGCTAACAGACTACCCGGGGAAGAGCTCCCTTTGGATAACAAGGAAATTTTGTACCTAGCACAGTGCCTGAGCTCCTGCCCATTTGCTTACGTTTCATATTACAGATCGAATTTGGCAAACCTTGAAAGATTGCTTGCTCTACTGAATGATGGGAAAGGTATTGGGGCTGCTTTCAAGGAACTCTGTCTTTGACATGTGTAAAACCCAGCCTGATGTAAAGTCATCAGGACAGTCAGAGATGCCTTTTTGAAGCACTGTGGAGATGTATATGTCTAGGCACAAATTCAGAGGAAAGGAGGGCCAGGGAAAGTTGGGCAGGTCCTGAAGCCTTAGTTTAGGCAAACAGGGTTGTTTTTCTGGTCTCCCAAGTTTTTGGCAGGTTAAAAGTGGCAAATTAGAAAGCAAGGCTTTGCTGTTGTGGGCGGCCACATTTGACAGCCACCGGAACCATTAAAAACAGAAAAACTCAGACACAGAAGGAATCAAATCCTGATTGGAGCTTTGGATACAAGCATGAAGCAGTGAACTAGAATTGGTGGATGGGAGGGTGATGGGAGTTTGGAGGTACGTGGAAGTGAGCTGTGACCAGATGGAGGGAGGGCTGGGACTGAGAAGTTTAATGAATGGGTCTTTTGGGACAGACAGCGGGAGCTGATGTTTGGCACAAAGGAGTGAACTGGGTGAGGGAAGGAGAGATGAGTAGGAGCTCCAGAGATGGGGCTCCCCTTCCATCTCAGGGAGGGGACTGAGGGGCCCTGCTGCCTTCGGGGGCGCCTTCTGAATTTCTTAGCGCTGGTCGTTTTCACAGTCCTCATTACCTGTTTTCTCTAATATTTACTTAGGCTTTTTACTCCTTGAGGCAAAAACGTGCTTAGGTATTTCTCCCCTGCACTCTGTAGTGCCTATCAAGTGTCCTCAGGGGTCATAAGCACTCAATAAATGCTTGCTGCTTGCTCAGAGTACACAGTTTTGTCCTACAGCAGTTAAAAGCTCACTTTTTAGGTTCAGAATTAATCAGAAGGGTTATGAGTTACTTCTGCATACTACCAGTGTCCAGTAAAAGGCGAAGAGTCCCATTTTCATACATTTTTGGTTGAGCAGCAGGTCTGTGCTTGCTCACTCTTTTGGCTCTCAGCACTACCTCACTTCCACCTTGGGAAATCTGAGTTAGAAATGGTTCTCTTGGAATGTTCTCTCCGGACTGGAGCTGCCCAATAGGAGGGAAATGATCTGATGTAACTAAGGAACTGAGTTTTAAAATTTAATTTAATTAAAATTAAAATTTAAAAAGCCATGTGGCTAGTGACTACCATATTGGACGATGCAGTTCCAGACACCTGCCCAGTCCAGTCCTTCTGGCTGTTTAGAGGCTCCTGGTAGTCCCACAGGGCCTTGGATTCGTCTTCTTGGGCTGCCATGACAAATACCACAGACTGGGGGGGTACTTCAGCAACAGATGCTTACTTCTTATCTCCCAGTTCTGGAGGCTGGAAGTCCAAGATCAAGGTGCCAGTAGGTTTGCTTTCTCCTGAGGCCTCTGTCCTTGGCTTGCAGACGGCTGCCTTCTCCCTGTGCCCTCACAGGGTCTTTCCTCTGAGCATGTGCATCCCTGGTGTCTCTGCGTCTAAATGTCTTTCTGTAAGGACCCTAGGGAGACCCTAATGACTTCATTTAACCTGAATCACTCATTTAAAGGCCTTATCTTCAAATATAATCGCATTCAGAAGTACTGGGGGTTAGGCTTCAATATGTGAATTTTAGAGGGGGATGTACACAATTCAGGCCACAACAGCCCTAGATGACCAGATGTTTCATCTAAACATGCATTTTCTGCCTCCTCCTAATATACTTATGTCTATGCTGGCCTCCCTGAAGGCAGGGATAGAGGACTGAGGCGAATATTTAAAGGGTCCTGGAGGGTTATCGTAAGAAGACCAGGCTGGGTTTTGTTCTACCCTGGGCTACACTAGTAGGACCAGTAGTCCGTTAGATAGCTGCTAGTAGAAGGCAGGCAGGCTGGCCTTGTGTCACACAGTTGCTTCGGTTAAAGCGTGTGGTGGTACTGTACGGCTGTGCTGTCTGTCCAGGCCTAATGGTTTAGTCATAGTGGATGATGCTTGCAGTAACAAGCGGCTCTCATTGAGAAGCCCCGGAATGCCAAGCTTTGTAAACATATGCCCGTATCCACACCATGGCACACCCTTTCCACCCTCTCTGAGGGCAGCTGTTTCACAGTGTAGGCTTCTGCCACCAGCCTGCTAGTTTGCATGGGCGTATATCCTCTTGTGTGGGCCTTTGGTGGTGTGTGTGGGGTGCCTTCTGCCCCTGCTCATTCCGCAGAGCTGAGCCTGCCCTCAGCCAGGTACCTGTAGCCCTGCTTGTAAGAAGGGCTGGGTCTGTGCAGTGGCCACTGTCCAGCCTTTCCAGCCTGCAGCCCCAACAGAAGTTTGGCAGCAGCTCCCAGCCCAAAGCAGAGCACATCCAAATGGAGGAGAGGCAGCTGTAGACGTCAGCTTAGGGCCCCAGTACCATGGCTGGGCCTGCCTGGCCTCCTGGACTGGAGCTCTTTGCTTTGATTTGTGGCCTGATCCAGGGGGAATGCCAGTGTGGTGTTTACAGTTGGGGATGGACGGGCGTTTTCCATGCCGGTGCAAACCCTCATCCAGCTGCAGTCATAGGTGCCCTGGAGGGCTGGCCTTGGCTGTTGGATGAAGTATGTTGGGGTGTTTGCAGGCTGTGTCTGTAATTGCTGGGCTCCTGGCACTGAGTGGCCTAGCCAGTCTCTGAAGTTACACATTGTGCCAGGGTGTGACCTGGGGAACAAGCACTGTATTTCCTGCTTCCCAGTCCATGGTCTTCTGTCCTTCAGAGTTTTGGCGAACTAGGGTTTTCGGCAAACATGACAGTGGGGTCCACCAGATATTTTTAGTATTTCCAAAGCCCTAGCTTGTGGGGAGGGGAAAGGGGCTGGAGGTTGCACCAGTCATCAACGGCCAGTGATTTAATCCATCATGCCTGTGTAACGAAGCCTCCATAAAAACCCAAAAAGGCAGGGTTCAGGAAGCTACCCGGTTGGTGAACATGGAGATTTGGGGAGAGTGGTGCTCTCTGAGAGGGCAGGGAAGCTCCTTGACCCTTCCCCATGCCTTGTCTTAATGTATTTCTTCTTCATCTGGCTGTTGATTCATATCCTTTTAATATCCCTTTATAATACACTGGTGATCTGGTAAGTAACATGTTTCTCTGAGTTCTTTGAGCCACTCTAACAAATTAATTGAACCCAAGGAAGGAAGGGGTCATGGGAACCTCTGATTTATAGCCAGTCAGTCCGAAGCACAGGTAACAACCTGGGGTTGGCAGCTGGTGTCTGAAGTGAAGGGCAGTCTTGTGGTGCTGATCCTGTGGAATCGAGTTCTGTCTCTGGGTAGATGGTGTCAGAATGGAATTGAATTCTTGGACACCCTGCTGGTGTCTGACAGTTGGTTGTTGGTGTGGGGACGCTTCCACAGGCGCGTGTTGGAATTGGGCCTGGGGATTGTTTTCACCTGCCTAATGTTCTAAATTTCAGGGCTGTGCTGACCTCCCTGTGGGAAGGCCTAGGGTGTGGTTGGAGGCCTGGAACAGGGACTTGTGGGGGCCCTCCCTGGTCTCCCAGTTTCTGCTGACCCTGAAACACTTCTGTCTTCTCTAGTTATCTAGCCAGGTTCTGCTCCACACTTGTGATAACAAAGGTGCAGAAAAGGGCTGAGTAGAATTCAGGCCTACGAATTTCACACTTAGTAATGCTGGTCGATGAACATGAAATTATGTGAGGACTTTTGTTTTTCTGGGTTCTCTCCAGCTGACGGATAAACAGAAAAGAAAGACCAAGATTTTTAGTGGATGAAGCATACTTTCTGCTTTGGACCTTTTATGTCTCATGCATTTAATGGGTTCTCTTACATTTTTCAATAACTTGTCATTTTGTTTACGTTTGACTGGCTGTTCTTGGTTCCTTTCACGGCAAGTCTTCTGAGGTTTCTTGGTGGTTTCCCTTTTGCATAAAAGTTAAGTCTGCTTCCGTTTCTATTTCTGTTTGACTATACCTTTAATTTGCTCCCTTCCCTCCATCAGTTGCATCTTAGGACACCAAGGACATCTTGTGTAGGGATTCTTGAAATGAGAGTTTTGTCTCAAGTACTGCAGAATGTGTGCTGTGCCCATGTTGCCTCAAGGCACGCGGAGATGGCTTTGCCCCTTTCCAAACCTGACGTGTGGCTTGTTCTTGACAGTGGAAGAGCATCATCTTGGGCTTGAGGAGCTGCTAACACAGCACGGACGGTCTGGTCCACCAGCTAGTCTCTGTGGCCCTAGACTTGGACTCAACAGAAGGGCTGGGTTACTGTGAAACGTTTGTGTCAGT